GCAAGTGGTCGCCCTCCACAGATTACGTTGGTTGGGGCATGTGTTAAACATGTCACCAGATAGGTTTCCGTGGCGAGCGATGTTCGCCGAGGCAGGTAGTGCATGAAAGAAAGTCAAGGGTGGTCAAGCTAAGACCTGGCATGAGGGTATGAAAACCCTAACCCAGAGTCTGGGTCACATAGATCCCGTTAGGCTCTCTGGCTGGGGACCTCGGGATGATCATACCCGATGGTTAGAGACACTAAATGATAAATGGTTGGGTGCTGTAAACATTGGCGTTCGTGCATCTTGTCCATTTCTCTGCAAAATTAGTGCGATGAAATTCCTAAATTTTCTCTACGATCCTACTTTCAACCTTTCCTGTCTTTCTCCTGCTATTCATCCAAATGGGCAGCCAAAAGACAGCAACCAAAACCGGCGCACTATAGTGCATGGTTAATGGTTGTAGAAACTGAGACTGAATACTGGTTTGCTGAGGTGAATCGATGTTGTATTGGAGTAAGTTCGCATGACGTGCGTGCGTGGTACCAGTCACCATCAGCTAATGAATCAGTCCGGCCACCGGTTGCATACGATACACGTCTCGGTCAGCTGTAGGTCACAACAAGTTGCATTGCTTATTTTACTAAATAAAACTGTGTTCTATTCACAAGGTTCGAGTAAAAATGTTCTAATTTTCCCCGTATGTACCACATCTGATGTGCTGTTCATCCTACAAACCAATGGTCATTGTGTAGAAATAGAGTGGGTATCGAGATTCCATGTGGCTGTTTTTTATTGAATTCACTGTATGATCTTTGCAGAAGTTTTCTCGCTGTTGGGAACTAACGCACCTGACTATAATCACGCTCCCGTAGGATGCCCGTTACGTCTTCGTACCACGTGTCTAATCGTAACTGGCACCTATCGTTTTGGTCCAGTGATTTAGATTAGGTAATCACTTTTGCTCTGTTATTGATCTTTGACTCCTATTACTTTTCACTCGCATCATTTTCAGTCTGGTGCTTTGAAGATTGTCGATCGATGCAAGAACATGTTCAAACTGGCACAAGGCGAGTATGTGGCTGCGGAGAAAGTGGAGTGCGTCTATCAGACTTGTAATCTGATCACACATGTCCTTGTCGAAGGCGATTCACGTAGCACATTCGCTGTGGCCGTGGTCGTGCCCGATTTCGCCATTTTGCGGGACCAATTAAATCTGATCGGACCGAAATCACCGGGATCGCGGCGTTCCTCGGCTTCCGGGACCGAACTGACCGACACGGAGTTATGTCACAGCCTAGAAGCTCGAAAATTGGTGCTGAAAAAAATGAACCAGATAGCGAGGGAACGCAATCTGAAAGGATTCGAATTGGTAAGGATGCTTGCTGCTTCTGGTTCTACTCCATATTGCTTCTTGTTTCTCTAGCCATCACTTAGAAGTGTCCGCTCTTCCTTACCACCAGCGGCAGTCATTATCGTGTCCGCCTTCACGTGATTTGTTTGACCTGTTTGACTTTCACAAAAATTAGTTACTGAACAGTTCAAGGCTGTTGCAACTGCGATCTGTTCAAAGTGACCGCGAATTATACCGTCCCTGCTTTGAAATTGCTTACTCGCATTTTTGTCCAACAGCAAGTCAAGTCAGAAATTCTTCTTATATTTAATGAATGATTACCACCTTTATTTTCTAGTGAGAGATGTGCCAGAGAACTGGCAATATGACCATATTGTGACCGGTAGACCAACCTACTATTCTGTTACTTCACTCACTGTAGTAATCTCGTGGATTATCTGACTGTCAGATCAATAATTAGAGGTGTAGACGTTGAATACACTGGAGAGACGAAGGGTTTCACAAAGCTAAACTGCCACATCCCCATCATGATGACGACAGGCAAGAATGAATCGTGTTTCAGTCTTCTCTAATAACAAAATCTGGAAGGGATTGAAAAACTCACCTACCCGAATAAATTATCGTTTTAAAAAGAATGTGATACAAATCCTCTCACCAATGGAATCCAAGTGAGTGAGGAAGAAAGAAAAATAAAGGCCTAGAAGAACACAAAGACAATGAAACTCAGTGATTGACATTAACAATCACGTGTAGGGGAAATAAGCAAGTGAGCGGTTTAGTGATGCTGAGTGTTGCCCAGTTCAGCAACGAATTGCTCACAAGGTCTCAGTTATTTATCTCACGATTTACTCATCCTTTGAAATATCAATCAGTTATCACCCTTCCTTTTTTCTCCTATCATCGTTTCAGGCCAAAAATATCTACTTGACTACAGAAATGTTTAGCATTGAAAACGGTCTACTCACTCCGACTCTCAAAATCGCCCGCTACAAGGCACGGATGCATTTCAAAGAACAAATCCACCAGATGTACACCGAAGGGGAGCTGAATGGATGAACCAATCGTGCGTTGTGATGCTCACTCTCTCTCTCTCTCTGTCTCTGTCTCACTGTGTGTGCGTGTGCGATGTGCAAATCGCTCACATCATTATGATCTGTTCCATACCAATCAACCAGCAGTTCCGTACAGTACAGGACGAATACGCATACTTGCAATGTCACACAACACCATGACAACAACAGCAAGCTGCCATAGTTTTTACTGTTATTGTTGTTGCATATAATCTCAATTGTTTGCCCATTCCCACGCACCCACCTACCCACCCCCATCTGTCTCATCTGTCGCGTCTGTTGCTCTACTACCCGAAGCGCGCAATACTTCCCCCGCGTATTTAACATTGTACTCTTGATTGGTTGAGATGTTTTTATCAAGACCGACTATTACTTCTCCTCCTTCTTCTGAGAATTGAAAATGTCGGAGATCGCCAGCCAGTGCGTTGAGAATTAGTCAGTCACATTTCTCTGTTTTCCAGTTGGCAGTCTTGGATAGTGCATTGCTTTCCATCCCGGCTCATACGCAGCGCATTGTCGACAGATGTCTCTCAGATACACGCACACGCCTAACACTCGTTTCCTTATCATAGAGCTGCTCTTTCGTCCTTGTACTTGTCTTTTTCTTTTGTCTGTCTGTCTCGATCCGAGATGATCTCAACAATCATGTTCGACCGTGTTGTCCGAAGGTTATCTGTCTCCCACAGGTATACATTCACGCTCTCCTTCGGATGACTGGTCCTGTGTGCCACTCATGTCCTCTCTTGCATCTATCTGTATTGGTTTTGCTCCCGTTCATTCATCTAGAAATCCGAACTATCCAACTCACTGCATATGAACAGT